CCCGCGGGCTCAGGCAGTCCACTCACCTCAGCCTCCCAAAGTCGTGGGATTACAGGCTGAGCCACTGAACCCGGCTGGTGTTCTTAACGATGGGCAGGGGGAGAAGCAGGCGGGGAGCGGAGGGCGTCATAAAATCAGGGAGGAAGGAGGCGCCAGAGACACTTGTGACACCATGGCCAGGTGTCTCCATTTTTCAGTGTGGCATTCCAGAACTTTCTCCGTGTTCTAACTGGACTCGCTTCATCTATGCATCAGCCCTAGGAGTTTGGATGGAACAGGAAGAGAACCATGGGATGCCCATCCCCCATACTAGGGCCCCAAAACCCCAAGGATGTGTCCACTGAGAACCCAGCCTTGGATCTGTCGTGGAGGCGATGTATCGCCTAGCTGGATGTCAAGGGCCTGGTGTCCTTTTCCCTGGTCATAACTCCCTGGGAACCTAAGAGCATGCGATGGAGAGATTCCCCAGAGCCGGGCTACCGGAGGAGGGTCTCATTAGAAATACGTGCCCCTGGCCCCACCCCAGACCTGCTCAGTTAAAATCTGAGAGGAAACTTGGTGAACTGGGTGGTCAACAGACTCCTCAGGTGAATCAGGGCAACCCCTGCCCCACAGCTGCTTGATAAAGATCAGGAGGTCCCATTTACACCTGTCTCCTCAATATTAACAATGCCTTCTTTTCTTTAAAAGTATCCCCTCTCCTTTTTTTTTTTGAGTCAGGGTCTCACTCTGTTGCCCAGGCTGGAGGGCAGTGGCACAATCATGGCTCACCGCAGCTTTGACCTCCTGGGCTCAGGAGATCCTCCCACCTCAGCCTCCTGAGTAGCTGGGACTACAGACACATGCCACCACGCCTGACTAACTTTTTAATCTTTTTGTAGAGACAAGGTCTCACTATGTTTCCCAGGCTGGTCTCGAATTCCTGGGCTCAAGCAATCCTCCCGCCTCAGCCTCCCAAAGTGCTGGGATTACAGGTGTGAGCCACTGCGCCCGGCCAAAAGTCTTCCTTTTAGAGACTAAATGTTGTAGTACCTTGCATCACACGTTGTCAGTGAGGACAATATTTTCGTCCCCAGGGTGATGGAAACGAGCTCTTGGGGCGGGGTACAGAAAAAATGTTTCTCTTTTCATATATAAAGCACACCTACACATATGGCCATGTGCAGGCATACGATGCCTCTGTGGTGTTAACATTTTGCAGGGGGAGCTCTCAGGAAAAAGTCTCTCAAAAGGCTTCTTCGAGGGGTATGATGAAAACACGCAGAGAGACGCTGCTTTAGGGAAAAGGAGCTGTGAGCAGCCTGCAGGTGTGAGGGAAGGGAGCAAGGGTGTGTGGATGTGCGTGCAACGAAAACAGGCTGTCATTTCCATGAGTGGCTGGTTCTCCTGATAAACAGCCTCCCATTCCCACGTGAGTCTACCCTCTAAGCAGGCTCCTGCCAAGCTCTGCTTTATCGGATGGGAAAACCCAGAAAGTTCTCGCTGCTCTCTCAAAGGGGCTTTGTTTCAGAGCTTGGCTCGGGAGACAGGGTCGCTTTCGAAGTTTGATAGCACTGGAAATCCGTGTGCCTTCCTGCTGGATCCCGAGCTCATTTCTCTCTGAATCAGCGCTCTGGGGAGTGGGGTTCTCTGTCCCTTGACTGACTGCATTTAGGGTTCTAACTTTTCATTCTTAAGAAGTGCCAGCATATGAGTGTGGCCTTGAATCTCGAGATGTTAAACTCACCCCTGTCGCCAGCATCCAGGTGGAAGGAAACATTCCCAAGTCCTCTTGTTGCTGCGCTCGGTTTGCCTCTCCCCCAGCCCCCAACACTGCACCCCGCCTGCTTTGGGGCTTCGTTGAAACGGAATCGTGGAGTGGGACCTCCCGGGCATCTGGCTTCTTCTAGTCAGCATCGTACCTCAGACGCACCCGTGTTGCCCCACGTGGTGTGAGGTACATTTCCAGCAAGATAGGGTCTTCCCCCTGTGGGACGGCTCCTGTTCCCTCACCTCCCCTGAAATGTGCAGGTCCACTTGGCTGCTGAATTTTTTTTTTTTTTAATCTCGAATACCCACACCTGCTGCAGTCTCTCCCGTGTCAGCCCCTTTGATTAAAACAGGAAGTAGAAGAATGAACAAGATTGACACCGCCGGGGGTGCTGGGGACTGGGGCTTCCAAATGGCCTGAAAGGCTGAAACTCTGTCACTGCTGTCCCTTTAAAATTGGGAAGTCAGTTTGGCACAGTGGCTCGTGCCTGTAATCCCAGCACTTTAGAAGGCCAAGGTGGGAGAATTGCTTGAGACCAGGAGTTTGAAACCAGCCTGGGCAACATAGCAAGACCTCATCTCTACCCCGCAAAATAATAATAATAAGCCAGGCTTGGTGGCTCAGCCCCTAATCCCGCGCTTTGGGAGTCTGAGGTGAGTGGATTATCTGAGCCCACGGGTGTGAGACCCGCCTGGGCAACTTGGTGAGACTTCATCTCTACAATAAATTAAAAAATTAGCCGGGTGTGGTAGCGCGCACCTGTAGTCCCAGCTACTACAGAGGCTGAAGCAGGAGGATCACCTGAGCCCAGGAAGTCAAGACTGTGGTAAACTGTGATCGTGCTACTGCACTCTAGCCTGAGGAATGACAAGGAGAAACAGTGAGACTCCCCTACCCTCAAGTCAAAAAAATTAAAATAGGGAACTAGCATGTGAGTGTGTTTTGAAAGTTGCCGTCTATGTGGCTGTGCTAATGCACCAGCAGCAGGGTGCAGGCACGAACCAGGTAATGCTTCGTCCTGCTGCTTGGTATGGAGACCCAGTTTGGGGAACAATGGCTGCCCTTGTCCCTGCCTGGCTCACTGGAGCAGATGGTTCCCTTGGCAGCTGCTGTCTGGGTCTTCCCGGCCTCACCCCCCGGGCTGCCTCCCTTTCTGCACCGTGGCCTGTGGTCATGTGTGCCTCCATTGACATGTGGCGGGTCCAGCGCCCTCCACGACGTAGAGGCAGCCAGGGCCCTGGTGGGCACAGATCCACCAAGACCCCCCTCCCCCGCTTCTCCTGGACCACTAGGCCGTTGCTGTCCCAAATCACCTGCTGCTGAGCTGCTTTATCTTCTTCCTCCTGTCCACACCAGGAGGGGTCCAGGTCAGTGTCCATGGGAGCCCAGGTGAGGCCAGCCCGGCTCTCTCTGTGATTAAACCAACACACGCGTGAATGAGACCTGGGAAAACCATCCTGGAAGGGAAGCGCGGTTGGACCTAGTTCTCAGAGCTCAGAGGGGAGGGGAACGTCAGCTAATACCTTTTTGGCACCCACAGCAGGTTGTGAGGACGCTACCCGCTCCTGTAATATAGACAGCAGATGTGAAAGGCCCACAGGGAAATAAAGTATCTCAATTAAAAATGCGTCGGTGGCAGTAAAGAGCAGATTTGAAAGGGAAGAAAAAAATGAAACCCGCTGCCGTGGGACACGTATGGAGAGGCAATGCATAAAAATTCAGGGAGGCAGCCGGGCTCAGTGGCTCAGCTTGTAATCCTGTGCTTTGGAGGCTGAGGTAAGTGGATTTGCCTGAGCCTGCGGGTTCGAGACCCGCCTGGGCAACTTGGTGAGACCTCATCTCTGCAATAAGTCAAAAATTAGCTGGGCGTGGTATTGCGTGCCTGTAGTTCCAGCTACTTGGAAGGCTGAGGTGGAAGGATCGCTGGAGCCCAGCAGGTCAAGGCTGCGGTGGCCGGGAGTGGCCACTGCACTCCAGTCTAGGTGACAGAGTGAGACTCCAACTCAAAAAAAAAAAAATTCAGGGAGGGCCAGGCGCAGTGGCTCACACCTCAATCTCAGTAGCTTTGGGGGCTGAGGAAGGACGATCCCTTGAGGCCAGGAGTTCGAAGCCAGCCTGGGCAACATAGCAAGACCCCGTCTCTACTTTTAAAAAATAAAAATAAAGGGAGTTCAGGGAGGCGAGTGCCAACCACAGCTGCTGACACCCAACAAGTCTGCAGCCTGGTTTTTCTCTACCCAGCACGTTGCAGGCTAGAAGCCAGCCCATTCTTTCCCTCTTCACCCTTCACTAGACCAGCCACCTACGTGGCATTTTTGAACGGTCTGTTCCTCCCTGTGTTGAATTTTCTTCTTTTGTTTTTTAGATAGTGAATTAATAGAACAGCGGGCAGTATCCCTGACGTAAGGTTAGTCAGTCCTCCCCGGGTCTGGAGGCTGTTGTCTCGGTCCGATATCTCTTGAGTCCTCAAAGCCCATGGCAGGCACGTGGCATTCAGTCAGTGTCTGCCAACTTGAATCTATTGAATTAATGAATTCATATTAATTATTCCTATGGAATCCATTGATTTATTCCCTCCAGTATGGCCTGGTGACAAAAGGTCCGGGCGCTAGCATCAGGTCCACATTCAACTCTGAGCCCTGCTAGCCAGTCCCGAGGGGACTCTGGGCATGTTTCTCTGTCTCTCCGACCCTCAGTTTCCCCATCTGGAAACGGCCTGTGAGCAGCCGTTCCCTCCGAGGGTTGTTGCGGCACTGGAGTGAGAATGTGTGTGTCGGGCCTGCAGCGCCGCATGTGCCGCGGAGAAGCCCTGGGCAAGGACAGAAGCTATATCTGACATCTGGTTCTTACTTCAGGGCCATAACGCCTAGAACCGCCCACTCGTTCCTCTTAAATAAGACATCACGATGGCAACGGGCCATACACCCTCTTTTCCAGTCACGGGAGAATTAAATGCATTTGGTATTTTTTAATTTTTAAGGGGGGTTGTCTTAACTCAGCAAGGCCAGGAGGCCTGGATGTAGACAATTCCATTGTAGACATGCCCAAATTGCGTATTGTATTTCCTCATTGCATATTCATGAGCTGCTATTTAATTCATGCTCGACGGACATAACATATTTACGCACGCCACTACAGCCAATACACACACCCACGCACGTACACGTACACGCTGCACTTCACATGCAGCGTTTGTCCTTGAACCCCGGCAGGGACGGGTGAAGACACATTTCTCAACGTAGTTTCCCCGGAGTGTCGCAGTCCGGATGCGTCAAGTCTCCGGGACCCTCCGGCTCCTTCCAACTGCTTGGACGGAGCAGTGGAAATCAGAGGGGTCCCGCCCTGCCGCATGACGTGTGCCGCGCATTGTGTGAGGCCCCGCAGGTGTGGGCCTCCGCTGCAGACCCCCTGGGAGCTGGCAGTCACAGCAGCCCCCGCCGCCCGAGCTCTTTGCCACGCTGCTTTCCATGAGCTCCGACTCCCGCATCCTCACCCGGGAGACGAGGGCGTGGCGGTGAAGAAGTTCCGTGGCTTGCCCCAGGCTACACAGCTAGCTAGTGGCAGAGCTGGGATTTGAACCCAGATTTCAGAGGCTCCACCCTGAGCAACTTCACTTCTCTCATCGGGTAGCATTTTTCAAGATCCACTGTAAAGAAGGAGGGAAGAGGGGAAGAAGAGGGGAAAGAGAACGCTTTTGGGAGTTCTATTTATAGAGAAGGAAGAAGCCTGGGATCCCAGCACTTTGGGCGGCTGAGGAGGGAGGACTGAAGGGGGGGCCAGGCAAGGTGGCTCTGCCTGTAATCCCAACACTTCAGGAGGCTCCGGCAGAAGGATTGACTGAGACCAGCCTAGGCAGTTTGGCAGACCTTGTCTCTACAGTAAATCAAAACATTAGCCAGGCAGGTAGCATGTGCCTGTGGTTCCAGCTACGAGGGAGGCGAGGATCACCTGAGCCCAGCAGGTCGAGGCTGCGGTGGCCGTGAGCGTGCCGCTGCACTCCAACCTGGGTGGCAGTGAGACTCCAACTCAAGAGAGAGAAGCGAGTTTTTAAAAATTATATATATAAAAAAGAAGGAAGAAAGGAGACATGTACACACACAGGAGCACCTTCGTTTCCCGCGACTTGCTCTGATGCGGCTTTTGGTTTCTGTTCCCTTTGATTCTACTTTATTGAGGATGCAGGTCAGGTTCAGGACCATGCGCGTGGCCCCGGCAGGCCATGTACTCCCCATCCCCGGGGAAGAAAAAAGTAAAAGTAAGAATCCCCGGAGGGTCGGGCGCGATGGCTCACACCTGTTGTCCCAGCATTTTGGGAGGCCGAGGTGGGAGGCTTGCTTGAGGCCAGGAGTTCAAAACCAGCCTGGAAAACATAGCGTAGGCCCTGTGTCTGTTAACAAAATAAAGTTAAGAACTCGGGTGATGTGCACTCTCCGTCCAGGTGTACCACTGGGCTGACCACTCCTCCACAGTGCTGCAGCGCCTCAACGAGCAGCGGCTCCGCGGCCTCTTCTGCGACATCGTCCTGGTGGCGGACGAGCAGCGCGTGCCGGCCCACCGCAACCTGCTGGCCGTGTGCAGCGACTACTTCAACTCCATGTTCACCCTGGGCATGCGCGAGGCCTTCCAGAAGGAGGTGGAGCTGGTGGGCGCCTCCGCCATCGGGCTCAAGGCCGTGGTGGACTTCCTGTACAGCGGCGAGCTGGCGCTGGACGGCGGCAACATCGACTACGTGCTGGAGACGGCGCACCTGCTGCAGATCTGGACGGCCGTGGACTTCTGCTGCGAGTACCTGGAGCAGGAGGTGAGCGAGGACAACTACCTGTACCTGCAGGAGCTGGCCTCCATCTACAGCCTCAAGCGCCTGGACGCCTTCGTCGACGGCTTCGTCCTGAGCCGCTTCGCCACGCTGTCCTTCACGCCCGCCTTCCTGCAGAACGTGTCCGTGCAGAAGCTGTGCGCCTACCTGGGCAGCAGCGACGTGCAGCGCGAGTGCGAGCACGACCTCCTGCAGGCCGCCCTGCAGTGGCTGACGCAGCAGCCCGAGCGCGAGGCGCACGCCCGCCAGGTGCTGGGGCACATCCACTTCCCGCTCATCCCCAAGAACGACCTGCTGCACCGCGTCAAGCCGGCCGTGTGCTCGCTGCTGCCCAAGGAGGCCGGCTGCGAGGCCTTCATCGAGGAGGCCGTGTGCTACCACAACAACCTGACGGCGCAGCCCGTCATGCAGACCCAGCGCACGGCGCTGCGCACCAACGAGGAGCGCCTGCTGTTCGTGGGCGGCGAGGTCTCCGAGCGGTGTCTGGAGCTCAGCGACGACACCTGCTACCTGGACGCCCAGAGCCAGCAGTGGGTCAAGGAGACGCCCCTGCCGGCGCGCCGGAGCCACCACTGCGTCGCCGTGCTGGGCGGCTTCATCTTCATTGCGGGCGGCAGCTTCTCGCGGGACAATGGAGGGGACGCGGCCTCCAGCCTGCTTTATAGGTATGACCCCCGCTGTAAACAGTGGATCAAGGTGAGATTAAAGCCGGATTATTTCTTTACTCTCGAGGACGCGTGATTGCCTCAGCCCAGACTCTGACTCCCTGCCTCCTCTCGGTCTCGGCACTGTCCTGCTTCTGAGCGGAGTGTGATGATAAAGCGATGAGAGATGCGGTTCTGCCGCCCGCGCCCCCTCGGAGGCCAGCCACTGTCCCGGCAGCCGTCCAGGGAAGCTTTCCTCACGCGTGGAGAGAGACCGCATCTCTCGGTCCTGTCCCGTGTGGCGGCTGCCAGCACCGTGTGGCTGTCAGAGTCCAAGGAATTTAATTTTCAGTTGTATTTGGTTTTATCTGAGGTGTGTGTATGTGTAAACTGCCACACGGGTGCGTGGCTGCCACACTGGACGGCGCCAGCCTAGAGAGTTGAACCGTAGTTTCAAAAATGTCCCCTGTGTCCCAGAGCCTCTGCTGGACTCCCCTCTTGGAAGGGTTCTGGGAGCCAGTTTCTGGAGGCCACCAGGTTCACACCTGGCCCTTCTGTGGGTATCTCGGACTGTTTTGGGGAAGGGTGAGGGCCTCGACATCAGACCTGAGGTTGCGTCCCAACCTGGCTAAGTCGTAGCCGTGGGGTTTCGGACCCTCTCCCGCTCCACATTTTGGCTCTCTCCTCTGGGAATCACGCGGGGATGCCGCCTTCTAGCTGGTGGCGACCGGCAGGCCCCTGGCTCCCTCCCCACCCGGGAAACTGTCTTGGGCTTTATTCTCACACCTCCGCGTTTTCTCTTAACTTGGTGTTTCCTGAGCTCCAAACTCAGTCCAAATGGACTCCAGGTGACTTCCGATTGATTCTCTTCTCAGGACTCTGAGACCACCCTTCCAGGTCTGAGTCTTGCCCCAAGAAAGAGGCCCAGCCCCGGAGCCTGCTCTCCAGAGCTTGGCGGGGAAGTGACAGCGGGAACCTTGCCTCCCGGGGCCCTTGTGCTTTGTGTGTTCTGCTTGGATTCGTTTTAAAAAGAGAAAAAAAGTTGGGTCTTCTGCTTTGTAATTTCCTGTGAGTGCCACTTTCTGCTCTGTTAACACAGATGGCAAGCAGCATCCGTTTTTTAAAATGTCTGGTGGGAGGAGGGGAAGCATGAACTTTTATTTCAGGAAACCACTAAATCTGCAATTCTGAGCTGCACGTCCTGCGGAATTCCAGTCCACAGCAGACCCCATGACCAAGCAATTTTGGGGAACTGGGTGTCTCCGTCCCCTGCCTGGGGGCTCGGCACCTCGGGGAGCTCTCAGGGACTCTGGGAGTTTTCACCTGAAGGACACATTCGACTCAGGTGGAAACCCCAGAGCCTAGACTCGCCCGGCCACAGTCTGCACACCCCGCCCCCCCACCTCGGGCCGTGCATTCCACACGCACGTTCGGAGAATGTGGTGCTGGGTGTTTTGACACCATCCCAGGTCGGGAAGGGAAAGTACAGGTGTCTCGCCTCCACAGGTGGCTTCCATGAACCAGCGCCGTGTGGATTTCTACCTTGCCTCCATTGAGGACATGCTGGTGGCCGTGGGTGGCCGGAACGAAAACGGAGCTCTCTCCTCAGTCGAGACGTACAGTCCCAAGACTGACTCCTGGTCCTATGTGGCTGGCTTGCCGAGGTGACTGGGGACTCCAGGGAGGCTCTTCAAGCGGGGTGTTTGCGTGGGATATAGTGAAGCCCGTCTCCCTCACTTCCTGGGCGTTTTGACCTCCAGTTTCAGGAAAAAACCACCTTGTGGCTTGTCGGTAACCGTGGGTTGATGATGAGGGTGTGGGCATATGGCAGTGGACAATCTGGGCTCTGGACAGTCTGGGCTCTGGTCTTGGGCTGACTGGAGGTGTCGGCTCTGCTACCAAGACACACCTCGCCCAGTGGCCGAGTCTGTTCACCTCCTGCATCTCAGAGACTGAGTGTTGGGTTCAGCCCTCCCTTTCAGTAAGGGACTGACCCGAAGCTCTCCCTGAGTCTGGGCAGGAGAGGTTCGGAGAGAGCCAGGCGTGGTGGCTCACAGCTGGCATCCCAGCACTTTGGATGTCTGAGGTGGGAGGACTGCTGGAGCCTAGGAGTCCAAGACGAGCCTGGGCAACATAGTGAGACCCCATGTCTACCCAAAAAAAGGAAGGCGATGGGATGGGAGATGTCGATCCTCAGTCTGTGATGAATGACTTCACTGCACTCAGCCTCTATTTCCTCACCTGTAGGGTGAGTTCATGCTGCCTCCCCCACAGCATTGCCACGCGGACCAGCTGCACCGCTGCCCAAATGCCCTTACCTGCATCCAGCAGGCAGGAATGCTCCCGGGCTGGTGCTCCTCTCACTGTCCTCAGTCCTCCCGCTCAGGTGGGCATGCATTGAGCAGACAGGAGCGTTCCCGGGTTGGTCCTCCCTCACCATCCTTAGTCCTCCCCCCAGAGGTGTGTGTGTGTGTTGAGCAGGCAGGGCGTGCTCTAGGGCTGGTGCTCCCCTCGCCGTTCTCAGTCCTCCTGCTCAGGTGTGCGTGTATTGCGCTTCTGTCCTCAGCCTGGGGTCAGTGGCAGGTACTTGCCCTTGATTTCACTAGCCCGCTGTGTCCACACCTAGAAAGTGCACTCTCGCCGGGCTCGGTGGCTCAGCCTGTAATCCCGCGCCTTTGGGAGGCTGAGGTGAGTGGATTGCCTGAGCCCGCGGGTTCAAGACCCGCCTGGGCAGCGAGACCTCATCTCTACAATAAATCAAAAAATCAGCCGGGCGTGGTAGCGCATGCCTGTAATTCCGGCTACTCGGAAGGCTGAGGCAGAAGGATCGCCGGAGCCCAGCAGGTCGAGGCTGCGGTGGCCGGGAGTGGCCACTGCACTCCAGTCCGGAGGACGGAGTGAGACTCCAACTCAAAAAAAAAAAAAAGAAAGTGCACTCTCTGAGCTAGTCATGCCAGGGAACACACCCAGGGTCCCTGGGAGTTTGAGGAGTGAGTGTGGTAAGTGCCCAGGTTTGTTTGTTTTTTTTTGAGTTGGAGTCTCACTCTGTCGCCCAGACTGGAGTGCAGTGGCCGCTCCCGGCCACCGCAGCCTCGACCTGCTGGGCTCCGGCGATCCTTCTGCCTCAACCTTCCGAGTAACCGGAATTACAGGCATGTGCTACCACGCCCGGCTGATTTTTTGATTTATTGTAGAGATGAGGTCTCGCTGCCCAGGCGGGTCTCGAACCCGCGGGCTCAGGCAATCCACTCACCTCCGCCTCCCAAAGGCGCGAGATGACAGGCTGGGCCACCGAGCCCGGCTGAGTGCCCAGGTTTTAAAGTCACGTGTAGGGCATGAATCCAGACACTTCCAATTTCTGGACAAGACCTTCATGGGGAGATCCAGGACACTGATGGGAGTATACCTGGACATCTGTGAGTGAGGTGATTCAGCAGTCCTCGTAGCTACGAGTCGCTGTGTGCTAACTTGGAGCTAGGTGCTTTTTTCTAAATAATTTTTTTGGGTCAGGGTCTCACTCTGTCCTCCAGGCTGGAGTGCAGTGGCACGATCACAGTTCACTGTAGCCCTGACCTCCCAGGGCTCAGACAATCCTTCCCCCCTCAGCCTCCCTAGTAACTGGGACTACAGGTGCCACCACCACGCCCAGTTAATCTTTTTTTTTTTTTGAGTTGGAGTTTCACTCTGTTGCCCAGGCTAGAGTGCAGTGGAATGCTCA